TTACTTTACTCAATTAAAGCTGCTTTGGGACGAATTGTCCGTTTTGAGACCTACACCATCCTGTGAATGTTCACCAAGTTGTGAGTGTGGAAAAGCCCTATCTGAAAAGATTAGGGAACATCTGGAGAGTGACATGCTATCGTCCTTCCTAATTGGGTTGAGTGGGAAGTTCTCCAATACCAAACGCCAGATAATGTTGATGAAACCCTTACCTGACATTGGTGAAGCATTTGCCATGGTTTTGCAACAAGAAAGACAGATAGCTGATGAGTCTAGCAGTATGGGAGAAAACTTGGCCGGGGCAAGTGCCTTTCTGGTGGACAATTCCAGTAAGAGGTCTTTCCCTGGCCAAAGATAAAAACCAGTATGCAGTTATTGTGGTTATACTGGACACACTGTTGATAAGTGTTACAAGAAGCATGGGTACCCACCCGGTTGGAAACCAAGGAACAAGAACTCAGCAGCTGCTAATCAAGTTCAGACAGTTGTGCAAGAGGAAGGCAATTCTCAGAACATTCCTCACACACATCAAGATGACTTTAGAAGGTTCTTGGAGTTTGTGCAGTATGAGAGAGCCAACACCTCACCCCTCAGCTTCACTCCTCAGGCTAATGCCATAGCTGCAAATTTCATCCCAGATAGCAGACTGGAAGGTAAGATTGCTAGTCCTAGCTGCAATCTCACAGAATCCAATCCTTTATGGATAATTGACAGTGGGGCCACACACCATATTGTGTGCAATGTGAATCTATTACAAAATCCTAAGGAGGTTAAGGGTATTCTTGTTGATTTGACCAATGGAAGTCAGGCACCAGTTTCCCACATTGGGACTGCTCAACTATCTGCAGACATAGTCTTGATGAATGTGTTGTGTGTGCCTATCTTTAATTACAATCTAATATCATTGGGAGAGCTAACAGCTAAATCAGGTTACCACATATTATTCCACTCTAATCAGTGTGTTATACAGGATCAACACCATGGGAAGATGATTGGTCTGGCTGAGTTGAAGAGAGGGCTTTATCAGCATACTTTTCCTGTTATAAATCCTTGTATACCTACTGTCAATGTCTGTGGCTTCTGGCATGCTAGATTAGGGCATCCTTCTGATTGCAAAGTTAGATTGTTACATACTCTAGATAATAACATTTGTAATGACAAGCCTAGTGCCTGTGAATATTGTCATTTTGCAAAGCAAAGAAGGCTCCCCTTTCAGTCCAGTTCTTCTGTTTCAGAAAGTTGTTTTGATCTTGTGCATGTGGATATATGGGACCATATCACACCCCCACTGTTTATGGTCATCAATACTTCTTAACCCTGGTAGATGATCATAGTAGGGCAACCTGGATATACCTAATAAGAAGGAAAACTGAAGTTAGACAGATTCTACAGACATTCTATGAGCTAATCAAAACTCAGTTTGGGAAAAATATCAAGTGCATTAGATCTGATAATGGCAAAGAATTTGCTATGGATGATTTCTTTAAGAGTAAGGGCATTATTCATCAAATGTCTTGTGTATACACTCCCCAACAAAACAGTACAGTTGAGAGGAAGCATGGGCACATTCTAGCTGTGGCAAGGTCCCTAAAGTTCCAAGCAAACCTACCTGAGAATCTTTGGGGAGACTGCATCCTTCATGCTGTCTATCTAATTAACAGGCTTCCATCATCAGCTATAGGGAATAAAATACCCTATCAGGTCTTGTTCAATAAAGCACCCCGGTATCACCACCTTAAAGTGATGGGGTGTTTAGCCTTTGCTGCCATTCCCAGTTGCAAAAGAGACAAAATATCCCCAAGAGCTAAGAAGTGCATGTTTTTGGGGTTTGCCAATGGTGTAAAGGGGAATAAACTCCTTGATTTGCAGACAAGAGAGATATTCCTATCTAGGGATGTTCACTTCTATGAAGATATATTCCCATTTAAAGGGCCACATAAGCCAGTTTCTAATGATTTTGTATTGCCTTCTGAGCAGATAGCTACTCTAGAAACTGATGACCATTCTGACAGTCACATTGGTTCCTTGGATGAACACCCCTCTCAGCCTTCAGCTGTTGATCAATTTGGTCCTAATGAGGAACCCCAACCTCAGCCCTCTCCAACAGATCAGGACTTGGGAACAAATACAGAAGCTACACAAACATCTCAGCCTAGAAGATCAAGCAGAACAAGAGTCCTCCCTACATACTTAAAGGACTATACTTGCCAGAATGTAGCTGTTAACAAGACATCTCCACATCTTGTCTCTAAAGTTCTCTCCTATGATAACCTTTCACAAGGGTTCAAGGCATTCACTGTAAATGCCTCACAAGCAAAAGAACCAAGGAACTATAATGAAGCAATAAAAGAAGAATGTTGGAAAAAGGCCATGGAAGCTGAAATCCAAGCTCTACAAGCAAACAACACTTGGATCATCACAGACTTGCCTCCCAACAAAGAGCCTATAGGCTGCAAGTGGGTGTATAAAACCAAACTCAAGGCTGATGGGACCATAGACAGGTACAAGGCTAGGTTGGTTGCAAAAGGGTACACTCAAACACCTGGCTTGGATTACTTAGACACATTCAGTCTAGTGGCCAAAATCACAACAATCAGGATGCTTCTGGCAGTTGCAGCAGTTAAAGGATGGAATCTCCATCAGTTAGATGTCAATAATGCCTTCTTGCATGGGGATCTCAATGAGGATGTCTACATGAAGCTTCCTCCTGGCTTTACTCCTTTGAAACCTGGACAGGTATGCAAATTGGTAAAATCCCTCTATGGCCTAAAACAGGCAAGCAGGCAGTGGAACATTAAGCTCACTCAGGAACTTTTACACATGGGATTTAAGCAGGCCACTTCTTGATAGGAATATTTTTGTAAGTTTTGATGAGCCAAATGTACTTTAGATCCCCTTAGTTTTTAGGTCTATTAGTACAAGCATCATAAATCAGAATATCGAGTCAAAAGGAATCTACCATAGGAAGAACAAAATTAATTTGAGAAATTAATTTTGGTCTTACAAGTATTCATCCGAGAAAGAAGCATAAAGGAATGGCGTTGCAAAGAATGACTGGATGAGCCTAACGGCGAAATGGTAGAAGTCCTTACTCAAAACAATCATACCTGAGATTGATTCCCCCCTAAGGACTTATTTTTATAAGTCAAGTTTTCGGACAAGCACAATGCCCAAAAGAGCACAATGTTCTTAAAAAGAGCACAATGTGCCAAGGAGCACAATGCTACCAAAAAGAGCACAATGCGGACAAGCACAATGCTGCTAAGGAGCACAATGTGACAAGCACAATGTGTGCTAAGGAGCACAATGTTTAAAAGGAGCTCAATGTTCAAGTCAAGGAGCACGATGTTCAAGTCAAAGGAGCACAATGTGGCAAAGAAGCAAGATGATCAGAAATTGGATAAATTCGAAGGAATTTATTCTAAGTCTACCCACATGCCACAAGAATCCAAAATTGCCTGAAAGACATTTGATCAGAACGGAAAAATACTTATGAAGAAATGAATATAAAAACTTATCCTAGAAATAAATTCTATCAGATGAATTTATTTCAAAGATACGTTGGATATTCAATATGACAACAAAATAATATCTTAAACAACTAGAAAATCAATTGGAGATAAGATATTATTTTGTCAGGCAAGTTGACAATCAAATCAAAATTGAAGACCTACTATTGTCAACAATATCAGGCTATGAAGATTCAAATTTCAAATATCAAATTATCCCACTCCAACAGATATATTTGATTGTCTATAAAAAGCCATGAAGACTTGAAGACAAAAAAGAGCGCAGAACAAGATAGACGTGAACAAAAGAGAAGTGCAAAATTCGAAAAGTGCAAGTGCTCAAATATTCTTAGAGACTTAGTCTGAATAGTCTCAAATCTAGTTGGAGAGAGATACAATTACCTTTGTATTTGTAATTGTAAAAAGAGTATAGCTGTGTGCAAAATACTCTAGTGAGTGTAGCTGTGTGCAAAACACTCGTAGTTAGTGAGTGTAGCTGTGTGCAAAACACTCGTAGTTGCTAAGTGTAGCTGTGTGCAAGACACTTAGTTGGCGTTGAGTATAGCTGTGTGCGAAATACTCGGAGTTGAGTGTAGCTGTGTGCGAGACACTCGGAGTTGGATGTAGCTGTGTGCAAAACATCCGGAAGAAGTGCTTGTGTAGCGCTTATTCACTATTGTAACTGTGTGTGGAAAATAGTGAATTTCTCCTAGACGCGAAAGGAGAAAAGTGGACTAGGAAGATTACGCCACTTCCGAACCACTATAAATTGCCTCTCTCATTTACATACTGCACTTACATAATTTGCTCTATCTATCTATCTTATCCGACTAACCCGTTTACTATTCACAGTTAATCTTAATCTTTCGGGTTTAGTGTGTTTTCACGTATGCATGAGACTCAAACTTCTCGATCTTAAATATTGAATTATTCTAAGCAAGTTTGACGTGTTGCATGTAACATTCGTTACACAGTCGACGTGATACGATATTTACTTACAATCTTGAATATTGTTATTATATATTGAGTGGACCATCTCCTTTATATATTCAAGATATCTCTGTCACTTTACATATCATCTGTACTCATCTTACATGCGCATTTAAATTATTGGTTGGGCATAACTCTTTACATTTTATTCCGCTGTGCAGATCTAACTTACTCTATTTACTTGTTACTTAGAGTTGAAGTTACAAAAGAGTTATTTAGTTTGAAAAAGCTTGAAAGTCTATTCACCCCTCCCCCCCCCCTCTAGACTTTCACCACCTTATCGGGACCAACACTTCTGATTCATCCTTATTCATCAGAGGTGGTAAGGCTGACTTTGTAGCTCTTCTCATTTATGTTGATGATGTTGTGATAGCAAGTCCAGATACCAAGCAAGTCCAGCAGATTAAGACACACTTGGACACTGTCTTTCACATCAAAGACTTGGGGCCACTGAGGTTCTTTCTAGGACTGGAAATTACAAGGAATGGTAAGGGAATTTCCATGACACAGAGGAAGTATGCCTTAGAACTCCTTGAAGAAACAGACTTCCTATTTTGTAAGCCAGCAAAGACTCCCATGGTTACATCTATTAAGCTAAGCAAGAATACTGGGGAGAGACTAGAGGACACCACTCAGTATAGAAGGTTGATAGGCAAATTGCTCTATCTCACAATAACAAGGCCTGACATCTGTTATGGTACTCAACAGTTATCTCAGTTCTTGGACTGCCCAACCAATGAACACATGCAGGCAGCTCACAGGGTCCTTAGGTACATCAAGGCTTCTCCAGGACAAGGCCTCTTCTTTTCAGCAAATACCTCCTTGCAACTAAAGGGATTTACAGATTCAGACTGGGCATCTTGTCCAGATACCAGAAGGTCAATTACAGGTTTCTACACCTTCTTAGGCAGCTCCCTAATCTCTTGGAAGTCCAAGAAACAAGTCACTATCTCCAGAAGCTCATCAGAGGCTGAATACAGGGCTCTAGCCACAACAGCTTGTGAAATGCAGTGGTTGTTATATCTCCTGCAAGATCTAGGGATATTTGATACATCTCCAGCCACATTGTATTGTGATAACAAGTCAGCCATTACTATAGCTGAGAATCCGGTGTTCCATGAGAGGACTAAGCATATAGAAATTGATTGCCACTTGGTAAGAGAGAAGTTATTAAAAGGGACTCTAAAGCTTCTACATGTCTCCACAACCAATCAGTTAGCTGATGTCTTTACAAAGCCTCAACCTCAGACTAACTTCAACTTTTTGATTTCCAAGCTGAACCTACATAACATGTATGCTCCAGCTCGCGGGGGAGGGGGGGGGTGTTAACACATACTGAACACAAGGCTGTTAAAGAAGCAGTTGAAGAAGCCGTTAACACTGTTGCTACTAGCAGTTAGTATAGTTATTATAGTTAGTCTGTTAAGTCTTCCTGGTGCAAGATGTATATAAGCTTTAGGCTTTGTAAACAGATTAAGTGTGAGATCAAATTGAATATACTCCTTTTCTCCTTTCACCCTACGCATAACTTGACAGTCACTGGTTTCCGATCGGAAACCAAGTTGCAATTTTTTTTTTTAATTTTTTTTTATGCAAAATCAGTAAAGCTGCCCTTCCAATCACAGCAGTGCTTGCTGCCTCATAAGAAGACTGCCACCGTTCAAGTTCAGAAGCACTCAGTTCTCGCATTCCCACCACAAGAGTTCTCAAACCCGTCGAGGAATAGGAATGGAGATGCGATTCAGTTTCATGAACTATGTCCGAATTCAACGATGTATCGATTACACTAAACATGGTTGTATCAGCACCTTTTACAAAAAGCTTTATTGCGTTATCGGGGCAACCTAATATTACTGACATCCTCTTCCGATCACTGTCAAACTCATGCAAACCCAAAACATCGAACCTGCATTAACATGAACGATAATCAGATAGATTTTAAAATTTCAAATAATGGTAGGAGCATCAAGTAGGGTGACTCAAGTTCTTGCTTATTAAACACAGAGAGAACGGGTTCAACATGCCTTTACTTTTCTCCTTGAATATCAATAACAATATGTCCAGATGTTCGTTCAATAAAAATAAAAATATATTATTCGGTATATAATAATTAAAATGTTTAAGTATGTGTTCATTTTCTGGAAAATGAACCAAACACCAAAAGACAGTTTTCCATCATTTTCTGGAAAATGAACCAAACACCAAAAGACAGTTTTCCATTATGCAGCCAAACACAGGAAAGGAAAATGACTTCTGGAAAATGACTCATTTTCCAGAAGTCATTTTTCAGAAATCATTTTCCAGGTTTCCAAACAGACCCTAAGTTTTATTATGCTTGAGTAAAAAAGTTTATCCACGATTGATCGTTGTTGGTGAATTCGCAGAAGAACAACAACGTCGTGCAGGATGTAGTCTGTTTGGCTATGTGTTTTAACGGTAGAAGGTTTCTGTGTCGTGTCTAAACACTACCTTAAAAACATTTAACGAACAGGGTTTTCGTAAGCTTTCGACAAGTTAGCATAGAAAAGACAACGCTGGCAACCTCTATTCACCGTGATTTCTCAGTGTTTTTTGCAGGGTTGGGAACGAGCGATTTATATACTGAAAGTTAAAACCACTTGTCCCATCTCAGCCATGGAGAACCAGCGAGAAAGGCAGGGAGTGGGAAAGACCAACGCCAAGTGCACGCACGTTCCTTTGTTCATAATGAAGTGCGGACAAGGTGATCTAAAACCCACAAAAATAGGGGTAGAAATGTGTAGTGGAGCGCAAAACGTTGACCACACAGCGACGCGCGTGCGAACCGAGCCGAGCGGGCGGGCGGCGGCGGCGACGCGCGTGGTTTCTCCCCTATTTCCCTCCATAACACTTCAAACCTTCTCAAATGGGTTGGTGAATAAAACGGGGTAAAAAGTCGGTTAGCTTGCCAATGTGGGACACATGAATAAGGACAAAAGTCACCCAAAATCCTTTGCCTTGTAAATGTTTCCCAACAATCCCCCACACATTTAAAGGGATAAAGGCTATACCCAAGTTTACCTGAGCCAGTACAAGAGCTAACTTCCATGTCAGTGTATGGAACTTGAACTGTCATGAAGGCATCAAGTAACTTGTTCCCCGAGAGTGAATTGAATCTTGAACTCTTTGGTTTATTGAGTTTTGAACTTGAATGCCTTTTATTAACTCTTTAACAATCCCTGTATAGTCTAGCTCAATCTAGACATCAACTCTGTCAAGTCTATCTCAATGTAGACCACCCATGACGGGTCATAGAGAAAACACTGTTATTACAGTTTTCTTTGGTGTAAGTCTTTCCGTGATTTCATTTGACCCCGAAGTGGTATCCATCACAAATTTCTTACCTCATTGGGTTTTAGACCCATTTCCCTTGATGTATCAAGAACGACCTTTCGGTTTAGGCCTTTTGTGAAAGGATCTGTAATATTCCTTTCAGACCTCACAAACTCCATTGTTATCACCCCATTTAATATTAGCTGCCTTACAGACTCATGTCTGACTCTTATGTGTCTTCTTTTCCCATTATAGACACTATTTTGTGCTACACAGATGGCAATTTGTGAATCACAATTCATAGGAACAGCCGGGGCTGGACACCCTCACAATGGCACGTCTGCTAGTAGGTTTCTCAGCCACTCGGCTTCCTGACTTGCCAGATCAAGCGCTATGAACTCGACTTCCATAGTTGATCTAGCAATACATGATTGTTTTTTTGATTTCCATGAGATAGTGGCTTCGCATATAGTGAACACGTATCCACTAGTCGAGCTTACATCTTGACTGTCATTTACCCAGTTCGCATCACAAAACCCTTCTGGCACTGCTGGGTGTCCTTTGTAATTAAGACCCCAGTCCATGGTGCCTCTAAGGTATCGCAATACTCTTCTTAACGCATCCCAATGCAGGGAGCTAGGGTTGTGAGTATAGCGACTGAGCTTATTTACTGCAAATGCGATATCAGGTCTAGTGTAATTCATCAAAAACATTAGACTTCCAATTATCTTTGCATATTCTTCTTGAGACACACTAGCTTCTACGTTTTTTGACAATTTGATACTTGGATCAAAGGGTGTTTTAGCCGGAGTCACCTCATAACTGTCAAACTTCTTTAGAAGTTTCTCTGTATAGTGGCTTTGTGACAACAGATAGCCACAATCAGTCTTTGTGACTTTTATTCCCAGTATTAAACCGGCTTCCCCTAGGTCTTTCATTTCAAATTTGTCACATAGAGTCTTTTTAGTTTTATTTATAGCCTCAAGGTTTGAGCTAAAAATCAACATGTCATCTACATAGAGACATATGATCACAATGCTAGACTCTATCTCTTTTGTGTACAAGCATGCATCTGATCGGTTAGTAGAATAACCTAGATCTAACAAAGTCTTATGAAATTTTTCATACCATTGTTTAGGGGCTTATTTCAAGCCATATAGAGACCTCTTGAGTCTACATACTTTTCCTTCCTGCCCTGGATCAACGCATCCGGGAGGTTGCTCCATGTAGATTTCTTCTTCTAGTTCACCATTTTAAAATGCTGTCTTTACATCCATTTGGTGAACTATCAACCTGTGTGAAGAAGCCAGTGCAAACAAAACACGAATGGTTGCAATTTTGGTTACCGGTGAATAGGTATAGAAATAGTCCTCACCGAATTTTTGTGTGTAGCCCTTGGTTACTAGTCTGACTTTGAATCTTTCAATTGATCCATCTGGCCTCAATTTCCTTTTGAAGATCCATTTACAGCCGATTGGTTTGCAACCCTTTGGTCTGTTGACCAATTCCCAAGTGTGATTTGACTATATTGAGTCTAACTCACTTTTGACTGCTTCTTTCCACAAAATGGAATCTACTGAGCGCATGGCTTATTCGAAGCTTTTTGGTTCCTCTTCTAGGACTAATTGACATATGAGCTGATCACAAAGTTCGTTCAAATCTTTCAACTCAGTTACATATGTTAAAATATCAGAACCAAAGTTCTTTTCAACTCTAGGCCTTTTACTTCTTCGGGGCTCTTCAGAGTTGATTGGAAAACTGGGAAAAACATCATGCGAATTTTGTTGAAGTCTATCAACAGGTGTATCACAAGCATTATTTAATGGAAAAATGTGTTCAAAGAATATAGCATCTCTAGATTCACACATTGGACGGTTTTCCAAACACATAAATCTGTATGCTGGGCTGTTTTCTGCATACCCAACAAATACAGCATCTACTGTTTTCGGTTCCAAATTGGGCCTTTTGAAAGATGGTAGCCCCACCTTAGCCAGGCAGCCCCATACCTTTAGGTACTTGATATTTGGGGCATGCCATTTCCATAGCTCATAGGGGGTTTTTTCAAACCCTTTGTGCGGGACTCCATTTAAGATGTGGTTTGCTGACAAAACAGCTTCCCCCCACAAGGAGTCCGGAGCACCTGAACTGATTAACATAACGTTGATCATTTCCTTGAGCGTTCTATTTTTCCTCTCGGCAATGTCGTTTCTGTTGAGGAGTATAAGGGGCAGTTAATTCATGAATAATGCTTGAAGATTCACACAGAGCTTTCAGTGTATTTGATTCATATTCTCCCCCTCTATCGAAGCGAAGACGTTTAATCTTTTTGTCTAACTGATTTTCTACCTCAGTTTTACACGCTACAAATTTTTGTTCGGCTTCATCTTTTGTTCTTAGTAAGTATACTTTAGAAAACCGGGAGAAATCGTCAATGAATGTAATATAGTAGCGTTTTCCACCTCTACTTTCAGTAGTTTTAAAATCAGCTAAATCAGTGTGAATCAGTTCTAATACAGATGAAGTACGCAAATGCACAGTTGAAAACGATTTTCTAGCAAATTTTGCTTCAGCGCAGATTTTACATTGTGTGCATGCATCATTAGACAGATTTGGCAACAAATTCATGCTTTTCATTCTATTTAAACATTTTGTGCCAATATGTCCTAATCTACCATGCCAGATATCTAAAGAAACAGTAATGTAAGCAGAAGAAGAAGCATTGTTATTATTGGTTTGAACATGCCAAGCTGGGGTGTGGTTTTCAGTACCAACTACATCAGAATGCTTTCTAACTACTGTGACATCTAACACAAAAAACCCTCCACGCAGGTATCCCTTTCCCAAAAACAGCCCACGTCGAGTCATGAACATTCGGTCTGACTCAAGAACCATTTTAATTCCGGCCTTATTAAGTAGGCCTGCAGAAATCAATTTTCTACGGAGGGAGGGAACAAAGAGCACATTTTGTAAAATTATCTGTTTCCCAGACCCCAAGCATAATTTGTACTTTTCCCCTACCAATTACCTGGGATACGCTG